ATGTATAGGGGGAGGGGGGGCCGAGAGGCTGCTTTTGTCTGCTGTTCGGCAGCCTGTTGCTCAGGGGAGGGGGCAGCCTGTTGCTGGCCGGGGGGTCAGGGGGGGCAGCGGGAGGGGGGGGGCACTTTTCCTCTGCCCGGCAGCTCTGCGGGACCCCAGTCGGAGCCGGCCCGAGGAGGAGGAGGATCCTAGGACCCAGGTGAGCGAGCCCCGGGAATGCTGCTGCGCATGTGCGGGAGTTGCCTCACCCCGTTCGTATCTAGGGATCCGACGTAAGTCGGATCCACGTAAGTCGGGGACTGCCTGTATGCTGCTCCATTCAGCCTCCTCCCCAAACGCTATCCAATACCAGACCACCCCATGTCTGATTTTAACCCAGTGCTGGATAGGGGACATACCGTGGGTGTCTAGGTGTTTGGAGGGGTTGAATAGCTATGGCCCTGAGAGCTGGGTTTGAATTCTGTTTTGATGTGGAGGAGAGTCACCTGCTCTCTGTGTGATGTTGGAAGTATTCATGGAGGCCAGTTCTCACAGGTTTATCCTGCGTCTTGCAATAGTTGGTGTTTTCTTGAAAACCCCAACGCCTGGAGTCATGTGAAGGCATGAGACCCCCAGAGAGTGGGGGTGGGTATTCGTTTTAAATCAGTTTCCAGCTCTCGTGGTTGCAGAGGGAGGCCTGGAATGTCGAGCAAGTGCACCATCAAGGTCCAGAAACCAGAAGGCAACTAATAAAAACCCACAATTTGTTTTTTAATCTCATGATTTTTAAGCCAGTCTCATGATTTTGGCTTCTTATTGTCCAGGAGATCTCTGTCAGCTCCGGCATTAAAGCTGCAGTGTGAATGGAAACAGGCATGTCAATGTGTTTCCCATTGTGGGAATTGATGACAACTATTAGCAGAATAATCTGTCCAACCAGATTAGTCGATCTGGCTCTTAAAGAATCAAAATTCCGGGTGAAACACACCCTCCTTTTCAGCACAAGTCACTTGTTAATCAAAAGAGCATTATTTTATTGGAGAAAATAGAGGATGCAAAGCAGTTATGAATTTGTAGCCAAAGACATTTATCTGATACAGATGCTCATTTCAATCCAAGAAGAAATGTGGCCCCAATAATAATAATCTCTGTCTGTCTCTCTCTCTCTGGGTACGTCTAGACTACAGGCTTTTGTCGACAGATACTGTCGACAAAGCTTCTGTCGACAAAGAGCGTCTAGACTACATCCAGTTCTGTCAACATGAGAGTGTAGGCACAAAGGACAGTGTAGATGCAATAACGTCTTCTGTCGACAGAAGGCGTTATTCTTCGTAGAATGAGGTTTACCGCCATTGACAAAACTGCCGAGTTCTGTCGATGTTATGTTGACCGAACTCGACGGCAGTGTAGATGCAGGTATATAGTTTTGTCAATAAAAGGCCACTTTTGTCAACACAGCCCTGTAGTCTAGACACACCCTTTCTGTGTACACACGTGCATGCACACGCACACGCACACGCACACACACACACACACACACACACACATACATATCAAAATTTTTCCTGTGGGATGACAGAGTGACATAATCATGTCAACGTCAGCAGGCTGGGAACGGGGGTAGGCGGAGCCAAAGCGGAAGGAGCCCTGCAGGCAGCATGGTCCACAGCGGTGGGATGCAACGAGCTCCCAGCTGGTCCTGCCGGTGGCTTCCTCAATCCCGCTCCTCCACCCAGCCCCCACACTCTTCAGCTCAGTCCCTCTTTCCCCCCACTTACTTGTTTTCACGCCGTGCGCCACTCCCAGGCACCAGAGGTTTTCCTCACTGCTCCAATAGGAGCAGCAGGGAAAGTCTCCAGGAAGTGCATCTGCACACTGCTGTTCCCCTGGGAGGGAGAGGGGAGCAGCAGCACACGCAGCTGTTTCTGCACAAGCTGGATCCGGCGGGCAGGTTCAGGGCTTTTCCTCCCTCCCCCGCCCACAGGAGGGAGCTCCTGCTGGTGCATCAATCTCGTGGGGTAGGGGGAAGAGGCTAGAACGCCAGCTCCGGCTTCCTGCAGAGGGACGGGGAGGAAGCCCCAAGCCTCCCCGCCAGATCCAGCTTGTGGGGAAACAGCTACATGCACGGCTGCCCCCTCCCACAGGAGCAGGCTGGGGGAACAGCAATGTGCAGACACGCTTCCTAGAGGCTTCCCCTGTTGCTCTATTGGCAGTGCCTGGGAGCGGCACATGGTGTGAAAACAAATGGGTGCCCCCCAGCCCCTGCACCCCCAGCATCTCACGCACCCCTGCCAAGACCCCGCACCCCCAGCCTGCTCTTACACCCTCCTCCCAGCCAAACACCCTACCCTCACCTGCTCCTGCACCCCTCTGGCCAGACACCCTCCCCTCCGCCTGCTCCTGACCCTCCTCTCCTCTTTTCCCCCCCCCCCTCCACACACCCCCTCCCAGCCAAACACCCTGCCCTCAGCCTGCTCCTGCACCCCTCTGGCCAGACACCCTCCCCTCAGCCTGCTCCTGACCCTCCTCTCCTCTTGTCCCCTCCCCCGTCCAGACACCTCCCCCCACCCTGCACCTGCCCCCTTTGCCCTGACCAGACACCCTCCCAGCCAAACACCCTGCCCTCAGCCTGCTCCTGCACCCCTCTGGTCAGACACCCTCCCCTCCGCCTGCTCCTGACCCTCCTCTCCTCTTGTCCCCTCCCCCTGTCCAGACACTTACCCCCACCCTGCTCCTGCTGCCTTTGCCCTGACCAGACACCCTCCCCTCAGCCTGCTCCTGACCCTCCTCTCCTCTTGTCCCCTCCCCCTGTCCAGACACCTACACCCACCCTGCTCCTGCCCCCTTTGCCCTGGCCAGACACCCTGTCCCCAGCCTGCTCCTGCACCCCTCTGGCCAGACACCCTCCCCTCAGCCTGCTCCTGACCCTCCTCTCCTCTTGTCCCCTCCCCCATCCAGATACCTACCCTCACCCTGCTCCTGCCCCCTTTGCCCTGACCAGACATCCTCCCCCCAGCCTGCTCCTGCACCCTCTCCCTGGACAAACTCTTCACCTTCCCTCATCCCTATCCCACTCACTGGCAGAGATGGGAGGAGGAGGCATGCACGGGAGTGGGGAGGGAGGAGGCTGCATGGCTCCGGCTTTTCCCAAGCACCGGGTAGGGAGGAAGGCGAAGGCCGCATGGCTCCCATCTCCACGGCCCCCAGAGCACAGGGAGAGCAGGCCCGGGGGTAGCAAGGCGTTCTGGGGCGGAGTGTGGGCGGGCCCATGTCACTTCCCCTTCTCACCCTGCGGAGGCTGATGACGTGGCGACGTCATTCTGTCCTCCAGCAGGAAAATCTTTTTTATAGGCTGAGAGAAATGAATCGTGTCCATTCCCAATACTATGACGTTGTGTATTTTCAGTCATGCAAGCGGGCATTCCTACACGGCTCCTTGGGGACCGCTTGTTCTGAATGTTGATGTAGTTTGGCTCTTTGGTGTGAAAAGGTTGCCGACCCCTGCTCCAGCGAGTGGGGGGGCTGGTGAGTGTAGCGCGCAGGGGGTGCAGCCCCCCGTAGTCATTAATAATACAATGCAAGTGTGAGACGGGTGGCTCCAGTCAGCACCATTGACTGGGCTGTTAAAAGTCCTGTTGACGGCACATAGGGCTGAGACAGGCTCCCTGCCTAATGTCGCTCTGTGTGGGTTCTGGAAGCAGTGGCATCCCCCCGCCCCCCTCTGTAGCTCCTATGCATGGGGCAGCCGGGAGCTCCACATGCTGCCCCCACCCCATGTGCCGACTCTGCAGCTTCCATTGCCTGGGAACCACAGCCAATGAGAGCTGTAGGGGCATTGCTTATGGATGGAGTAGCATGCAGAGCTGCCTGGTTGCACCTCCACATAGGAGCAGGAAGAGGGAAAAGCCACAGCTTCTGGGAGCTGCTTGGGGTAAGTGCCACCTACAGCCTGAACCTTGAGCCCCAATCCCAGGCCCAGCCCTGATCCCCCTTCTGCCTTCCAAAACCCTTGGCTCCAGCCCAGAGCACCCTCTGGCTTGGACTTTTCAGCTTAGAAAAGAGGAAATAAAGGGGGGATATGATAGAGCTCTATAAAATCATGACTGGTATGAAAAAAGCGAATAAGGAAAAGTTATTTACTTATTCCCACAATATAAGAACTAGGGGGTCACCAAATGAAATTAATAAGCAGCAGGTTTAAAACAAACAAAAGGAATTTTTTCTTCACGCAGTGCACAGTCAACCCGTGGAACTCCTTGCCAGAGGAAGTTGTGATGACTAGGACTTTAACACGGTTCAAAAAAGAGCTAGATACATTCATGGAGGTTAGGTCCATCAATGGCTATTAGCCAGGATGGGTAGGAAAGCTGACAATCAGCTCCCATGGTTTCTGGGTGCACATCTGGATGGCTAGGGTGAGAAGGCAGATGACAATGGTTCAGAAGGAGCTGAATGTGGTGAGGAAGGAGGCTTAGAGGGAGCAGAAACTTGTTTCAATCTCAGGTGAGGGTTCTGGGGTTTTATGTCTTCGCAGGCATGTGGCTATTAGCCAGGATGGGTAGGAAAGCTGACAATCAGCTCCCATGGTTTCTGGGTGCACATCTGGATGGCTAGGGTGAGAAGGCAGATGACAATGGTTCAGAAGGAGCTGAATGTGGTGAGGAAGGAGGCTTAGAGGGAGCAGAAACTTGTTTCAATCTCAGGTGAGGGTTCTGGGGTTTTATGTCTTCGCAGGCATGGGTGGTGGGTGAAGGAAGAGCTGGGGGAGGCAAGCCCCCAGCCCCGCCTCCAGCCCCATCCCTTCTGA